TGGTGCTGGTGCCCCCCTGGTGGGGTGGCCCCCAGCCGCTCTTGAAGCGGGCCTCCGCCGGCCTGCAGCAAGTGCGGGAGCAGACGTGGGCCCGGCAGCTGTTGCAGGAGATGAAGACTCTCTTCTTGAATACCGAGGTGGGTCTGTGGACTGCTGCTCCCTCGGACGAGCCGCAGAGCCAGAACCCCAGCCCACCTCCTACTCGTTCGCAGCTTCGGCATTATCCTTGCTAAAATGGAAACTATATGATAACCTAAGTGAGGGAACGGGCGGTGGTGGCACACGCTTTGAATCCCAACACCCAGGAGGCAAAGAAAGGCGACCTCTGTGAGTTCGTGGCCAGCCTTCTACAGAGCAATTCCCAGACAGCCGAGGCTACACAGAGACCCTGTCTCGAAAAACAAAGCAAGGGGCTGGAGAGATGGCTCAGCGGTTAAGAGCACTGGCTGTTCTTCCAGAGGACCTGGGATCAATTCCCAGCACCCTCAAGGCAGAGCACAGATGTCTGTAATTCCAGTTCCAGGGGCAAAACTGTACTTACTACTATGAAGTAGTATACGTAGCAATGAAATGGTTGGGGGTGGGGGTCACCAGGACATGAGGAATTGTATTAAAGGTCCCAGGATTGGGAAAGCTGAGAACGACTGTGTTAGAAGGTCAGATAAGACTGTTGGGTGAGCAGGAAATTGCTGACAGATTTCTCCTCTTTCCAGTACCTGATGCCCTTTCTCCTCAACCAAAGTGGCTCCCTTGTCTACTACTTGACCTTGGCATCAACAGGTGGGCCTCTGGCTTGGACCTCCTCTGGGTCCGTATTTTGCCAACCTTACACCTGTCAGTGAGGGAGAATACCTGTTTGGGCCCTTGGGCTCACGGGTAGTAGGGTGGTTATGAGTGTGTGGCCAGACACTAGGGCTGGTCTGACAGCCTCGTGCAGTAGCAGAACAGGGAAAGTTCATTTTGCCATAAGTGCTGACTTGTTTTATTTATGTTGGGGGGTGTGTTTGTGTGTGTGTGTGTGTGTGTGTGTGTGTGTGTGATAATTTTTCTTTTGTTTAATAGTTTTATTTCCATTGCATTTGTTCTCTCTCTCTCTGTGTCTGTGTGTGTGTGTGTGTGTGTGTGTGTGTGTATAGGGTAAGTTTTGGGAAGAGGCTCTCTCCTTTTTACCTTGTAGATTCTCTGATGAACTCAGATCAAGTGCACTAACCCACTGAGTGTCTCCCTAGCCCTTGTTGTTTTTGAGACAGAGTCTCAAAAACACAGGCTGGTTTCCAAATCATGATCCTCATTTCTCTGTATTCTGAGTGCTAGGATTATAGGTGTTCACCAAACACCCTCTAAGAAGGCTCTCTGATGCCTCTGAGCCCACTATGCGACTTGTCTGGTCTAGAGTAAGTCCCTTTTTTGGCTCCTGGTGTATATAGTGGGCCTCATAGCATTGTAAAGGTTGATTCCGAATGTGAGAAGAGTCTAGCAGAGTGCCTGACATACAGTAGAGGCTCCATAAATATAAATGTCCTTTCTACAAATGTTTGTTGACTGTTCCTAATGCATCAGATTATTTGTATTATGACCTTATGAAACAAACATGCTTATCTTCATAAATTGTAACACTGGGCAATTTACATCATGCTAATGAAAGAGGATTTAAAACTGTATATTAATGGCTATAAGCTGGGCACTTGGAGGCTGAGGCAGGAAGATAGAAGTTCATGGACATCCTGGAATACTTTTGTTCTAGGCCAACCTGTCTCAAAATACCAACAAGAAACTCTACCCCACCCCCAAGACTTGTGCTCTTGATCTTCCGCAAAAGTCTCCTTGCTGTGGTTTTGCCCACCCTAGACTCAAGAGCCCCAAGAAGACAAGAGAGCCTGATTACATGGCATCCAGATCTGATACTTGAGTTTCAATTAAAGAGATTCAGTACTCATAAGACTTTATTTAGAGGGCTGGAGAAATGTCTCAGTGATTTAAGAGCACTGACTGTTCCACCAGTGAGCCCAGGTTCAAATCCCAGCACCCACATTGCAGCTCACATCTGTCTATAACTTCAAGATTTATGCAGTTATTTATTTATTGTTGGCAGAATTTTCTGTCCTACCAGCCAGCACCCAAATAACCACACAGAGACTTCTTACTAATTATAAAACCTTGGCCAATAGCTTAGGCTTGTTACTAACTAGATGTTACAACTTAAATTAACCAATTTTTATCAATCTACTTTTTGTCCCATGGCTTTATTACCTTTACTCTGTAGTGCCCGTACTGCTTCCTCTCTGCCTAGCTAGTAACTCCGTTTTTCTTCTTCCCAGCATCTTCTGTGTCTGGCTGTCCCCTCTATACTACTCCTGCCTAGTTAATGGCTATTTAGCTTTTTTTTTTTAATTTTTTATTTAAATTAGAAACAAGCTTGTTTTACATGACAATCCCAGGTCCCTCTCCCTCCCCGGCTATTTAGCTTTTTATTAAACTAATAAGAAGGCACCTTGGCAAAGATACATCTTCACAGTGTACACAAAGATTATTCCAGGGCTGGAGAGATGGCTCAGAGGTTAAGAGCACTGACTGCTCTTCCAGAGGACCTGAGTTCAATTTCCAGTAACCACATGGCGACTCAACCATCTGTAATGAGATCTGGCACCCTCTTCTGACCTGTAGGCATGCATGCAGACAGAACACTGTATACATAATAAATAAATAAATCTTTAAAAAAAAGATTATTTCACATAGTGGTGAACACACCTTTAATCCCAGCACTCGAGAGGCACCACCATTGACTGTCTTGGCTGTTTTTGAGATAGTCTTGCTTTCTAGTCTAGGCTGGAATGCGGCTTACCTTGAACTCATGACTGTCTTCCTGTTTCAGCCTCCCTAGTGCTGGGAATACAAGTGTGAGCTACCACACCTAGCAAGATCTCATTTTTATTGTGTAACCAGGCTGGAGAAATGGCTCAGTGTTTATGAGAGGACCCTCTAAGAGACCCTCTAAGAGACCCCTCTTAAATTCCCAGCATCCAAGCCAGGCATTGGTGGCACACATCTTTAATCCCAGCACTTGGGAGGCAGAGGCCGGCAGATCTCTGTGAGTTTGACACCAGCCTGGTCTACAAGAGCTAGTTCCAGGACAGCCTCCAAAGCAATACAGAGAAACCCTGTCTCAAAAAAAAAACAAAAAACAAAAAAATTCCCAGCATCCATGTGATGGCTCACACTGTTTAGAAGGATATGACTCACACATGCATCACACATGCATAAAAGCAAAACACACACATAAATCTTTTTTTTTTTTTTTTTTAAAGAAAGAAAACAAACCAGGCATTGGTGCTGCATGCCTTTAATCCCAGCACTGTGAGTTAGAATCCAGCCTGGTCTACAAAGCCAGTTCCAGGACAGCCAAAGCAATACAGAGAAACCCTGTCTCAAAAAACCAAAAAAAGGAAGGAAGAAAGAGAAAGAAAGGAGGAAAGAAAGAAAGAAAGAAAGAAAGAAAGAAAACTACTACACTGGCCTCAGATGTCAGAGGTCAAGTGTTCATGCTCCTTGCATCTCTTCAGGAAATGAGCTCCTTTGCTCATGTTTGTTTTAATCGTTTTCCTTGTAACCCTTGCTGGCCTGGATAGAATTCATTATGTAGACCAGGCTGGCCTTGAACTTGAAGCAGTCTCTTGTCTCTGCTTCCTGTGTGCTAGGAGTACAACTGTGCCCATCCTACTTGGCCTTGTACTTGGTTTAATCTTGTGAGTGTGGAATATGGAGGAGTGCATGTTTACGTATGTGGAAGCTAAGGCCCATGTTAGGTGTTTTTCTGGATTCCCCTCCACTCTGGTGTTTGAGTCAGGGTCTCTCACTGACCCTAGAGCTCATGGTTGTCCATCTAGCTGGGCAGCTAGCTCCAGGGCTCCACCCATCTCTGCCACCCCTACCTCCCAACACTTAGGTTACAGAACATTCTGCCTGGCCCAGTTTTACCTAGGTGCTGGGGTGGTACAAATTCAGTTCTCTGTGCTTTCATGGCAGGCACTGTCACTTTACTGATAAGTATCTCCCCAGGAACTACCCCCCAAACCTTTTCATAGAGTCTGGCTATATGGCCCAGGCTGGTCTCAAACTTGAGATCTTCCTGCCTTAGCCTCCTGGTTGCTGGGATCATGGTTTGTCCCCCAGTGTCTGCCTCATGACACTCAGTGTTATTTGCTTATTATTTTTGAGACAGAATCTTACTATGTAGCCCCAGCTGTCCTGAAACTCCTGAGGTAGACCAGGCTGGCCTTGAACATACAGACTTCTGCCTTCAGGGTGATGTTTTTGTTTTGGTTTTTTGTTGCTGTTGTTTTGAGGCAGGGTTTCTCTGTAGCTCTGGCTGTCCTGGAACTCTATATGAAGACCAGGCTGTCCTGGAACTCAGAGATCCTCCTGCCTCTGCCTCCCAAGTGTTGGGATTAAAGGCGTGCATCTACGCTTGGCCCCCAGAGTGATTAAATTATGTGTACCACCATGTCTGTTCTGTGCTACTTTTGTAATGATAAGGAAGAAGGGAAGAGGGAGGAAGAATATTTTGTCCCTAGAAAGGCATTCTTTGCATATAGGGATTTTTCTTTCTCTGACTTCCCAGATTTGACTTTAGCTGTGCCCATCTGTAACTCTCTGGCTATCGTCTTCACACTGATTGTTGGGAAGGTCCTTGGAGAAGATGTTGGTGGAAAACGTAAGTCAACCTGCCAAATGTCAGGAAATAGCTGCTTGGGCCTTGACATATGTGAGCATTTCCCCAGGCTGTTTTCCATGGGTGGGAGAGGAGAGGCCTTCCCTTATCTCACCCTTTACTCTGAAGCAACTTCTCCTGCTTGCTTGTGACAGTTTCCTTCCCTTGGACAGTCTGGGGACAGCAGCTGGGGTGGGAATCAGGACAAGGCAATGTGGGTCTTCTTCCTTGGTCCTGCTAACAACCCCTGATCCCTTGATGTTTTCTTTACCTCAGAAGCAGTGGCGGGCATGGTGCTCACCGTCATAGGAATCACACTTTGCATCACAAGCTCAGTGACCAAGACCCAAGACCAACCGTCGTCCTCTTGAGTGGGCCATCCCCGACCTTCCGTTCTGCTGTGCTCAGCAGACCTGGCACTGAGGTGCAGGCAGAGTGACGCACCAGCTTGCCTCTCTGAGCTTACCCTCCTCATCTCTGAGATCATATCTACCTCAGAGTCACAATAATAATAGCATGGTTGCTGGGCAGTGGTGGCATACACCTTTAATCCCAGCACTGGGACACAGAGGTACGAAGATCTCTGTGAGTTCGAGGTCAGCCTGGTCTACAGAGTTCTAGGACAGGCCTCAAAGCTACAGAAAGAAACCCTGCTTGAAAAACCAGAAAGGGAGAAAAAAAAAAAGAATAGCATGATCCAGAGTTCCAGGACAAGCCAGGGCTACACAGAGAAACCCTGCTTCAAAACACACACACACAAAAAAAAAAAAAAAAAAAAAAAAAAAAAAACAGCCTTGGGACTGGGGAGGTTTGTAAACTATGGTGGGTTCAGCTGTTGTTGAGATTTAGCATTAGAGCCAGGAGTGGTGGTGCACACCTTTAATCCCAGCACTTGGAAGGCAGAGGCAGGGGGATCTCTTGAGTTCCAGGACAACTTGGTCTTCATAGAGAGTTCCAGGACAGCCAGGGCTACACTGAGAAAGAGGCCTTGCATTCTTGCATGAGAGGGGGGGTGGTGGGGAGAAGCAGGGGGAGAGAGAAGGAGAGAGATAGAGATTGATTTCACACTAAAGACTTTATGCCCATCCTGAGCAGCCTCTGCCCCAGTAACCATCTGCCTACTGTCATCTCAGGCAACTGTCACCTGGCCTCTATCACCCTGGCCTGCTGGCCTGCTCTAGACATGGGAAGGGCTAGCTGTGTCCCTGAACCAGGCCTGTGTCTGGAGGCTTCCACAGCCCCATTGCAGTGCCTTAGCTGAGTCACAGTGGAATTCAGGGAGAATGATTACATCAGAATGACAGATGGAAGAATGAGCTGGCCCTGGGCAAAATGCTCAACTGCCATTCCCTCAAGTAAGGAGACAGCTGTGCGCCGAGCAGCACCTAGCTACAGCAAACACCTGGCCTGTAGCAGCTTTCAATAAATCTGCAGCAAACAAAGCTTAGCAAATATTATTTTATTGTGGCAGGCCTGCTCCTAAACCCAGCCTGTAGTGCCTTTCTCTGGCAGGGAATCACATAAGGAAGTCAACTCCTCAGAACTTCCTGAGTTTATGAAGGGAGAGAGGCTAAGGAGGCCATATCTACTGTGAGCCCAATGAGGCATAGCTTCTCAGAAACAGGCTGCTGAAAGTTGGGGGCTGGGGTAGCTTGGAGAGGCAGTCCTCAGTTTCTGTCTGGAGTTCCTGGCACTTAAGATGGTGGAGTATCGGCTGTGTGAGGATTCAGCTCTGGGCCCAGGCGGGTGTTTGGGGACAAGGCCTCTTCCACTGTCTCTGCTGCCCTCTGGTGGACAAGTGGAAACATGCAGAGCCATGTGGATGCCCAATTCACACTGCCAGAAGCTCCCCAAGCCAGGAAAGGAGACTGGACACTAGAAAGCCTCAGGAATTAGGAAACAGGAAGGCAGGCCTTCAGATTGAGATCTGCTCCGTCACGCGGAAGAAGGGTCCAGGGAGCCCAGGCTTCAGCAGAGGTCTGCCCATCTCAGTGTGAGGTTTCCCAATCTGACGAGCTTACCTGATCCACAGGCTCCTCTGTGTGGGTGTTCTCATCATCATCCACTTCCTGAGCCCCAGCTGTCTCCTTCCTTGGGTAGGAAGCCCTATAAACGCCCTTAACTCCTAATAAGGAGGCAACACTGGATGATGCCCAGCCTGGGGGGTCCTCGGCCTTCTGTGCCTTCCCTGCTGTACCGGTTGCTTCCCCAGCTGTAATTCCATCTCATCATAGCTTCAAGCCTTGTCTTTTCCCGTGTACTTTTTTTTTTTTTTAATATTATGTATACAGTGTTCTGTCTGCATGTCTACCTGCACGCCAAAAGTGGGCACCAGATCTCATTATAGATGGTTGTAAGGTATCAGATGGTTGCTGGGACTTGAACTCAGGACCTCTGGAAGAGCAGCCAGTGCTGTTAACCACTGAGCCATCTCTCCAGCTTCTCCCCTCCCCGTGTACTTTTTATATAACTCCTTATGAAAGAAGCAAGTGGCATGAGGTAGAAAACTGGCACAAAGCACTGCTGAAGCATTATCCCCTGTAGACACCCCTAGCATGTGTTGATGACTGGCCTGAGCTAGTGTGCGTCCCTGACGTGTGTAAGCATAGGGCCCTCACCTGATGGACATGAGAGAGGAGAGAGCTTGCTTGCTGGCTGAATGGACTGCTGGGATCTGGCGTAGAAAGTGGATGGCTCAGTTTGTCTAGGCTCCTTTGGAGAAGGCAGGGCTGGTTGAGCTGCCTGGGCCTTGTGACCCTGTACCGACAGAAGGGACACTGAGTTAGAACCCCGTTTGTTGGTTGTTATTACCTATTCTGCTCCCCAGTGTGCCCTGCTGCCTGGGCAGGCTTGCAAGAGGCTGCGTGCCCAGATAGACTGCCCCCTTCACCTGCTTTTGTTCCTATCGGGCTGTCTATCCAGGGACAGTGCAGTTGATGCTGGCATCCAGAGATGCCCAGTGAAACCAGGCTGCTTCCCGCTCTGGTGTCACAAGCTCACTGGCTCATCTGGGAGAATGGAGGCCTGGAGTGGGATGGTGAGTGGAGGTCCCCTTGGGCCCTGCTGTGCCAAGTAGCCGGTTCAACAGCCAACCTAGTGTGGAGGCATTTGGCATGGTATGTGCCACTCCATAACAGTCTCTCTGAATAAGTCTTTTTGTTTGTTTCTGCTTGTGAACTTCAGCTTCTACCCCAAGAAAGGGAAATCACTACTTCATAGGATCCTCAGCTAGTCAGTCCCCTTCATCCCATTGTCACCTACCCCCTGCCTGTGGGACTTATACTTCCGGCCTGGAGGATACCTGCAGTGAAAGAAAGGTTTGTGGTGGGCAGAGGGCATTTCCTCTGCTGTGACCTGTGACCCTCCACCTCAAACAAACATACCAGCAGCCCATGGACAGAGAGGGGCTGGGCACCAACAGCTCCATATAGGGGAGGGCCTTGAACTCTTCTTCTCCAACAGCCACATAGTAAGAGCCACTCACCAGAGCAGTCCCTGCTGACAGTGGGAGCCCCTTGAGGGTGCAGAGTCTGGGAGGAGAGGTGGTAAGGGCTGAGGGATAACTGGCTGCTCTCTACCCAGCAGGCACTGAGGTAGGTCCAGCTCTTTGGGGGACCCTCTGACTTTGGTCCTGTGGGAAATGTTAACCTAGGTTCTGTCCTGACTTGAAGGGCTGGCTTAGGGAGAGAACATGCCTTCCTTTGGCATTTTCAACTTTAAGAGCGGATAGAAACTGTGGGGCTTGGGTGCTTGACCTCCCTTGTCCCCATACTCACTTGTGTACAGCCCCACTCTGTAACGTGGCCTTCTCAGTCAGCAGCTTCAGTACCATCTCCCAGTCCTGGATAGCAGTCTGGGACAGCTTCAGACTAAAGGGAGGACTTAGTAGGTCCCCATTCCTGAACACACTGAGACAAGAACAGCCAGGTAAGGGGGTGGGTCCCCGAGACTCCACATGTGAAAGGGGAACAGGAACCAAGTGGTCCAAGAGCAACTTCCATGTTGGGATTTTAATCTTCCCACTTCTAACAGAGCTCCTGGAAAAACCCACTGCCATTTTCTTGGTATCATTAAGGCACAAGTTTATACTCCCACGCCTGGATGCTTGTACTCACAGGATATAGCAGGGGGTGTCTGCTGGCAGCAACTGTCCAAAGGCCCCATCACATGGGCGGGGAGGCATGAGAGGCTCCTGAAATCCAAGTCAGGCCTTCAAGTCAGGAGAAAGTCCAGGACTTTGGTTGGGTCTGGCTGTTTCTAAGAACATGGGGTGAGCAGGCAGGAACCAAACTTGTGCAGCAGAGCAAGTGAGCAGGGACAAGTCTGAATGTACAAGAGAGCGAGTGAGCAGGGGCGAGTGAGCAGGGGTGAGTCTGGTTGTGCAGTCTGCTCACACCTCTCTGAAAGGGGCACCTGTATTCCGAGTCACATAACTCCTGTCCTTTGCCCTCATGTTTCACAATTTACTCATTCCTGTGGCCTGGAGATTAGGTAAAAGGCAGGGACTGAGTAGGGGCTGACCCAGGACAGCAGCAGATTCTGGAGTGGGTGTGGCATGTCCCCTGGACCAGACAACTTCTGCTTCCTGGACACTGTTCCACCCACCAGTTGGAGCAATCCTAAGAGGAGGAGGGGGATGACGAAAGCTACAGTCTCCCTCGGACTTACATGTTGTTGGCTGCTCTTCCCACCTGGGTGTCTCCTTCCAGGAGGCAAATAGCTGAAAGGACAGATAGGTCCCAGGTCACCTTAAGGAAGTCTGACCCCAGCTAGCCAGGTTTATGCCCATCACAGCCAAGACTCCATCATTGCAAGGCTGGTCTGAGGAGACCATTCTGCAGGTAGGCCTTTCCCCTGATGGCCTGGCCTTAGGAGTACCACCACATTCATCCTGTCTCAGAGTTCATCAGGGGAAAGTGTTGGTGGCACACGCCTTTAATCCCAGCATTTGGGAGGCAGAGGCAGGTGGATCTCTGAGTTCAAGACCAGCTGGGTCTGCAGAGTGATTCCAGGACAGCCAGGGCTACACAGAGAATTCAGGAGGCAGGCCTGAATTGGCGTGGGGGGTAAAGTAATTCCTAAACAAAGTTCGACTTGCAGAAATTGTTCCCACAGGCTGCCCTGGATGTGGTAGGCATTAGCCTTAGTAACAGAATGCAGTCTGAGTTACAGCTCAGCTGATTTGATGGTGCAGCTTCAGGCAGGTTTCTCACTTACCCTCTTAAAATACAGCCTCTCCCCAGGTTTTGGAAAAATAAGCCTGTTGACTTGGAGGTAAGGACTGGATACACTATTGCTCCCACCCTCCCTAGGCACTGGCCAGCCCCAATCCACTCACTGGACCTTGTGGAGTCGTTCCAAGCCAGCTGCCACATACTGCCCTCCGTTCTGTAAGTCAGCCAGGTCAGTGACGGGGCGGCCATCACAAAGTGTGTAGAGGGTACGTATAGCCAATGGGGCTTGCACCACTGACGTCACCTCATAAAGGAAAGCCTCCATGGTGGGGTAGCGGCGTTGGGTTACCACCAGCTGGCGACCTGGGAAGAAGGGGTCCCCATTTCGATATACCAGTACTCTCTTGGCTGCCATAGTACGTCCTCATAGACACAGAGCAGTTGCCAAGCTACTACGTCAGGGCTGGGAGCTGTGCCAAAGGTGGAGTCCTGCCTTCTTATCCAGAAGGCTGCAAGCACCTTGGACAGGAGCATTTTCCTGAAGGCAGGCAGGGTTTCAGATCTGCCTTTGATGTGCTTCAAAAGAGTAGGGTCGATAGCATCACTTTTTTCGTTTGTGTGCAGTTGGGACCAAGCTCGGGCCCTTGTTTGCTAGGCAAACACTGAACTATCTTTGCAGCCCAGTCTGCCTACATTACAAAATGAAGACCCTGGGCTCAGTGAGAGGGAGACAGAGATTCCCACACAGATGTCTCTGGGGCTCGTGCTCCTTTGAACTGAGACCAAGGGTGATCAGCCTGGGGGCTGTTCCCAAGGAGGATGGCTAACTGCTTTGGCCATGGTTGCTAGCTGGCTTTGGGGATGATGCCCCATGTGAGTGGAAGGTGAACCAGATGGCCCAGAACCTGTCCTGGTCAGAGGCAGCAGATACAAGCAGACAGGTTTATAACCCAAGAAAAACCTTTATTCCCCACGATCCTCCCACCTTACTTACCCTAAGATAAGGTGAAATTTGGATTAATCCACAGGCAGAGGATAAAAGGGTATGCCCTTCATCTTTCTCCTGTGCCAGCGCAACCCTGCAGCTCAGCCTGAAAGCTGCCAATGGCCAGGAGCGAGGACAGGAGATAGAGGTGGCATCAGGTCCCTTATGACTTTTTCATAGCATCCCCTTTAGGAACCTATTCCTCTCCTGGATCCCCTTGCCTGACGCCCTGCTTCTCATGGTCTGCCCCTCCACTGGTCCTCTTGTGGAAGACAAATTCTTCAGAGATCTTCATCTCCACAGGAGAGTCCTCTGGTTTTCCCATCCTTCCTGACTGAGCTCATTGCTAATCCATGCCTGGAACTCCTAGCACTGGGGTACTGGCTCTTGGGTGGTTTAGTCCTTCTGAGAGCCAAGCTACCTTGTTCCAGTCCTGCTGATGTCCCATCCCAAATGTGGCCTTCTGAGATAATCAAATCATGTGGCCTGGCTCTGTGACAGTCAGTCTCTTTGTAGGTTGGCTTTCTGGAGTATTTATCCTCAGTATTTGGATTCTCACAGAGTGTGGGCAGCTGTGTCATGGCCTTGCTAGAACAAGGACTCCTAGACCTGGGGTCCTCAGGGGTCTGACCCTCTACGTGTTTCAACTGCTGTAGGGAGGTTTCATTAACAGCCTGTCCTCTGTGGTCTGGCCCTTTGATAACCCGGTCCCCTCCAACCTGGCTCTCTAATGCTGGAGCCAGCTGTGTTGCAGCCTTCCTATAGTATAGTTCCCAGCCCTTTGCCCCAGCCACATATTTGCCTGTACAGGCTAGACTGTCTGGGGATTTCTGGAGCTGCGGGCTGCCCTCCTGGCAGGAATCATCTGCATGGCATGGCCTTCCTAGGATCCTGTCTCTTAGAACTGGTCCTTAGGGAGGCAGCTTGATTGCAACCACATCTTCTCACAGGCCTGTCCCCTGTGGTCCAGGCACATGTTAGGCTGGTCTCTGGTCTGGCTTGCTTCTGGGGATCTCAGTGTTTGCTTGAGAATTAGGTACTGTTAGGAAAGAACAGAAGCAAGCTTGCTCAGACATGGCAGAAGGCTCCCTCCACCCTTGCCCTGCTTAGAAAGGTTCTCACTGCCTACCTCCTTTCGACTGTTGATGGCCTGTTGTAGCCACAGCAGTTCCATGGCCAAATGGTTACGCTGGTCCTGGAGTTCTTGTTGACTCTGGGACAATCCTAAATCTGTGACTTCATTGAAGGAAGAAGGAAAGGAGAATGTCTTGAGGGGTAGACACTGGGCACTAGCCCTAGATCCTGGCAGCCCTCCACACTCATCAGGCAAGGGGATGGGGTGAGAAAGGGTGCAACTTCTCTTTCACATCCTTCCATGTTTCAGATGGGAGGCTGAGGCCCGGAGATCAGGGGCTTTCCCTGATCTTGGCAGAGGTACCTGCATTGCTCCCCACAGGCAGGGAGCTCTCTCTGGCTTTCCTGCCCTGCTCAGGCTGAGGCCAGGGGCAGTCATCTCGGCAAAGACTTCCTGCTTTTGCTGGGCTCCCTCCTGCCTCCTTCAGCATGTCTTCCACAAGGCCATCTTTTCCCGAGTCTTTAAGTGGGAGATGGCTGCAGAGTTTCTGCTCTGGGTTTGGTACTTTCTCTGCTTTCCAGGAGCGATGAAATTTTGCCTTGTGAAAAAGCAAAGAAACATGAGAATCAAAGGGCTACACCCCCCCCCCCAGAGATGTCTGGAAACAAGAGTCCAGAGGGCAAATAGGTTAAGGCTGAGGAAACCTTGGGGGCACCAGGCATACACATGGTAGAGACAGCAGGCAAAACACCCACACATACAATAAATCAGAGCCCTGTACCAGGCTCTCCTTTCCTCTTCCCCCTGGGGGGGGTCTGTGCTACCTCTGGGAGAAAGATGGGCTTGGGAATCCAGCCCCTGGTCCACTGAAGTGTGCTGAGGTCTCCCTCGATCTCTTGTACAACTGCTTCATACTCAGCTCGAAGGCTCTGGAATTGACGCCGGACCAAAAAGCCCCGGATACCAGCCTAATGTGGAGAACAAGGGGGGAAATGCCTCTTAATGCTTTTAGAAAATGGGTATCTTGAGCCGAGCGTTGTTGGCCCACACCTTTAAGCAATGAACTTGGCAGGCAGAGGCAGGTGGATCGCTTGAGTTCGAGACCAGCCTGGTCTACAGAGCAAGTTCCAGGACAGCCAGGGCTACACAGAGAACATCTATCTAAACAAACAAACAAACACACACGCACACACACACACACACACACACACACACACAGGAAAAGAAAGAGAAAAGGGGTCAAAAACACACACACACACACACACAGGAAAAGAAAGAGAAAAGGGGTCAAAAACACACACACACACACACACAGGAAAAGAAAGAGAAAAGGGGTCAAAAACACACACACACACACACACAGGAAAAGAAAGAGAAAAGGGGTCAAAAACACACACACACACACACACAGGAAAAGAAAGAGAAAAGGGGTCAAAAACACACACACACACACACACAGGAAAAGAAAGAGAAAAGGGGTCAAAAACACACACACACACACACACAGGAAAAGAAAGAGAAAAGGGGTCAAAAACACACACACACACACACACAGGAAAAGAAAGAGAAAAGGGGTCAAAAACACACACACACACACACACAGGAAAAGAAAGAGAAAAGGGGTCAAAAACACACACACACACACACACAGGAAAAGAAAGAGAAAAGGGGTCAAAAACACACACACACACACACACAGGAAAAGAAAGAGAAAAGGGGTCAAAAACACACACACACACACACACAGGAAAAGAAAGAGAAAAGGGGTCAAAAACACACACACACACACACACAGGAAAAGAAAGAGAAAAGGGGTCAAAAACACACACACACACACACACAGAGAAAGAAAAGGGGTATCACACAGACACACACACACCACACACACACACACACACACACCACACACACACACACACAGAAAGAGAGAGAAAAGGGGTATCAAACACACACACACACCACACACACACACCACACACACACACACACCCCACACACCCACACACACCCACACCCCAAAAACAAAAAAAGAGCAACA